TTAAGCTGATTGGTTGGTACTTAATGGAGGGTCATGACACACCTTGGTGACCAATAAAAAGAGAAAGGATGAGGAAACTTAATCCTGCTGAAGTTTCCAGGAGTAATTCAGAAAATATTGTCAATTTTTTTGTGACTGTTTAATTTTGATCTGAAAAACCAGTTTATTTTAGTTTACACGGGTTATTCTGATTTTCCATCCATCGTTGCCTTCTTAAACCAGCAGCATTGTTTCTAGAATGAAGAAGTTCCTGAAACTGTGAACTTTTCACATTTTATCACAGTAGGACAACAAAACTTTAATGTGTGTTAGTGAATTTTGATCACCACACAGATGTGAAGAGGATGGAGAATGATATTTGTTTTTATGTTATCTGAAAAGTGAATGCATTTGTATTCTATCTCTCTCTGCTGTCAAATAAAGTCCAGTGAAACTCACTGCCTTTGAGAGTCTGATCATTATTGAACAGGATAAGCCTGTGTGGATTCAATCCCAGATTAAATTCAATCCCAGATTAAATGTGAAGTGTTTCTGGTTTATTTCCAGTACAAATTTCTCACAGATACAAATTTGCCAAAAAGGCAGGGTTAGGGTTAAGCTCCTACATGGTGCTAAAAAGCATGATGTAGAAGCTTAAGTCAATATTTTTTCAATATTAATTAAAAAAATATTTAAAATAAAATGATTGAAAATGTCATCATTAAAATAATCAACCAGTGGAACAAGAACTTTTTCTTTCTTTTTATAAAGGTTTTGTTGGCTCTAATGGCGTTTATTTGAAAGTAGTTCGACAGGAAAGAGGGTTATGAGAGGGGGAAGACATGCGGCAAATGTCGCCTGGCCAGGAGTTCAACTTGCGACCACCGCCACGAGGACCAAGTCCTCAATACGTGGGTTGTGCTTTGCCCCGGCGCCACCACAGCACCCAAACCAACTTTTTCATCAACAATTATTCACTTAAAACAAGGTCATGTGTCTTGAAATAAAGCTGCTTATTAGTCAGTTTTCAAGTGTACTAAGATATCAGCACTAGAAACTGGACCGAAAATACCTTGTAAGATTCAGTGCCTTTGCAGTGCAGAGTATTGGAGAGCACCGGAGAATGAACAGCATCATAAAGACCAAAGAACACAGCCGACGGATCGGCTGTGTTCACATTATTCAATCGGTTATCTGATCATGAAGAAACGTCCAAACCTTCCCGAACAGAAATGGTTGTCTGTCTAAACCTACAGAAGCTGCCCTGGTAACTCTGAAGGAGCTGCATAGTACCATGGCTCAGGTGGGCGACTAGGTCAAAAGGAAAACTTAAGGGGAAATAAAGTGATAAGAAGTTTTCTGTGCAATTTACTTCAACCATAGTTATGCAAAATAATGAAAGTGGCTAAAGTGAACAATGCAATTAATAATCCTAAACAAGCCATCTCCACTGAAGGGTGGTGGCAACATCATGCTATTGGGTGTGTTTCTTCAACAGAGACAGGAAAGCTGAGTGGAGTCAATAGGAGGTGACCTCAGGTCAATCTGGGAAGAAAACCTGCTGGTTGCAGGAAAAGACCAATTAAAGCTTCAGCAACAGAAAACATTAGCAATAGAACCCTAACGCTAACCAACAGGGTTACCCAGACATTGTTGTCAGCGTTGATAATGTTCCCCAGCAAGAGGTTGAACTGCTGCTGTTCCGCCATTGCGGTTCAATCCAAAAAAGACCAGCTGGGTGGAGAAGCGCCGAAATTAACCAGGCAGACGCACCTTTGCCCCAGCGTTCAAATCAAACCACAGGAGTTAGAAGAGCCTACTCAAAGTCCATCACAAGAGCTGATGTCGGTATTAAACTCCTGACTGAACTCAGGTTGTTTAGTAACGATACATTCAGTTTTTAAATATAAAATACTCTTCTACAAAGTATAAATAGCACAGTTTAAAAGTTTAATTTGATGTTTAAAAAGTGTCAAATACAGTCTTCCTCTACCTCACACTTAAACACAACTGTTTTGATGTATTACACTGAATACTAATGAAATATATTAATGTTTAAGATTACTTTTTGACAAAAAAAATGAATGGGGGATAAAAACATTTGGTAGGTAGGTGGTCCTAACTCCCTCCTCCACACATTTATATGTCTTTGAAAAACAACATTTTAATGTTTCTGGTTTACTCAGATGTGACAAAATATTTTCCGACCTGCTGGCTTCTCATCCTGTGTGGGCTGCTTGAGAACACTTCACTGAGCATCTATTTTTAGTTATGCAATCCTAAATGTCAAAGGTTCCCTTCCAGTACAACTAGTTAAAGAGATCAGGTTAGAAAAGGTCAACGAGTCGGGTCACTTTTCAAATACTGAAAAGTAAATTAGCTTTTTTCCTTTTTTATTCTAAATCATAGGCAGATCCTAAATCTTTTTGAAAAACCCATTGGAAAGATTTTACTGCAGTAAATTTCAGGCTAAAACTTCCAGTCTGCTTCATAATCAGATTTTACACATCAGATTCTGACTGTACCATCTGAACAAAAAAACCAATGTTCAACATTGTATTTTTGTTCCAATGTCTCAATTACTAAAATCTGACTACTTATGTCCCAGTTATCTTCATTGTATTTCATCTGAAAATTAAATCTTACAGTTTCAGACGGAACGTTTCCTGTTTGGTATCAACATCACAAAAATGTAAAATCTGTGTTTTACAACGAAGTGAGGCGTTCAAGTTCATGTGGCTCATGTTACCCTGATCCTCCTGAGCTGTCCGGTGAGCCAGTACTGGATTACAAGGGTGTTCCCTCTATTGCTCAGGAAGTCATAAAGGTAAAAACAGCAGCATAAACAAAACAGCTTCTCTTCATGGTGAATGTTCCACAATGCAGACATGAGCAAGTATTAAAAATTATTTTCACTGTAGTTGAGTCAAACCAGTATAATTTTATGAAGAAGAACCACCGCCTGGAGCGCTCCACCTGTGGTTTTCTAATCCCCTCAGCCCACAAAAAAGCATCTGGATTGGGTTCCCCCACTGTACATCTCTCGTTTCCGTTGGGCAAGACAAGTTCTCAGAAGAAGAGGAGAGTTTTTTTTTTTTTCTACCATCTTTGAGACCTTTGCTAGCTCAGACCTATTAAATTCTGCTGAGTACTTCTCAGTACTCTGATCATCATACAAAATGTTCAGTTCACTTAGGAGTGACTTTTAGTCCATTTTTAACCTGCAGTTATCTCACTTTTATGATGGTGAGTGTAGGAGTAAACCCTCATCCACTAACTTGATGCTCTGCTGTTTGTCCTGCAGCTAGTCAATCACAGCTACTTTTGTTGGTTTCATCAGTTCGTCCAGAAAATAACTTGTCTTAAAGTGTTTGCTTGAACTTTAAATTATGGATTTCAACAATATTTACCATGTTGACAAGATATTTTACTTATAGGCATCCTTACCTAACCCCTAACCCTACCCTACAGTTCTTTAATGTGGTTTGATTTCTCTTGATGCTGCATCTTTCAAAAATATCATTGTGTGTGTGTCTGCATGTGCGTGCATGTATGTGTGTGTATTAGGACTTTAGTGTGAATTGAGTTCAGGTTAGATTTGGGGTTAGCCAGGGCTAATGAGTTAAGGTCAGGCTATAGAAATGAATGAGAAATGAATGGAAGTCAATGCAAAGTGCTTGTGAAGATAGAAAGACATACTTTTTGTGTCTGAGTACTTGTTTAGTGATTGTATTTAGGACCATTACTGATATATTTACTAACCTTCTCTAGACCAGTGTATCTTATGGGGACCAAAGTCCTGTCCCAGTATGATGGATCTCTGATTCAAGGTTTTAAAGAGCTGGAGTGTGAATTAGGTTTCAGGATGTGAGTTATTCCTCAGAGCTAACCCTAGCTAAGTGAATGCACAGATCAGGCTGGATAGAGTTGGAGCTTGTTTACATGTTCTGTTTGACTTGCTATCATTCTTCCTGTTGAAAAGATAAAAAGGAACACCCAGAGCTATAAAACATCTCTGTCAAAAATAAATAAATAAACCAAAACACCAAAAGATAAACCATGCCATTCTAATGTCACAAACTCAGCCAAATGTTTTCGAAAAAATACATTGGATCACAAGACAATTCAATAAATTAAACATGAAAAAATGATGGAGTCACTGATTGCCATCTCTGAATTTACAATTTGAATTTTCTATAGACATGAGGCATCTGCTGATGTGAATCATTTTTCCTGAGTATCATTTTGTTTTGGTGCACAACATGAAACCCCAAAAAATCCATTAAAGATTCTTGTTGTACAATTATGAAATGGTATCGGAGTTCTTAATTATTAGTGTACAATTAGTTATCATTAGTACAGACCACGCATTCAAACAGGTGCGTGTGGAGATTCTGTGTGGTGTAAAAATGTCTGAAACAGATTTAAGAGTCTTATATTTCCACTTTTTTCCACTTTAGTCTGTTCCCCTGTTATTTGGCAAGAGGGAGGGTTTATGGGTGCAATGAGTTGTTGTCTTCAGAAAGTTGTACGTTCTATTCCAGTTTCTTCCTGTCCAGTGTTGTTGTGCTCCAGGGCAAGGTACTAACCCCCATCAGTATGTGTACTGGTGTATGAATGAAGTGTGTGTGAATGTGGCTCAAGTGTAAAGTAATCTCAGTGGCATGAGAGTATATGCGAGTGTATGTGACTTTTCTATGACTAGAAAAGTCAAATATAAACTCAGTCCATTTATATTCTGCAGTGTTTAAAACTTGTCCGCAGAACTGAGAAAACGACAGAGGCAAACCAGACAAAAGCTTCAGGTGAGCTCTAAAGCTTCCACTAAGACAGCAGTAGTGGCAAATACTGTTTGCTGCATTCAGTGTTCATGTTTTCTTTTTTTCTAGATGCTAATCATGCAAGATGGGTGGGATCTTAAAGTGTCCCTGGAGAAAGCTGCCTTGAGGAATTTTAATGAGCTTTAATTGCTCTGCTGTTCCTCTCGGCCACAACATCCACATCAAGACTGAGCAGTTCCAAGGATCATTTCTACAGACGGGACAACCAGGTAGGTCTCTATGATTCTCTTAGCAAAGCTGTACTAACAAGATGACTTGCTTTGGTAGAGAAAGATTAACCCACTTCCAGGCCAGTCCCAAACATGATGGGCTGATAGGTTACTGTAGCGCCAATAGGGGACATTAAGCTCTCTCCACAACTTCCTCAAGAGAAACAACAAGGTTCTCCACTAAGTCAGAGAGCAACTCTTTTACAGATCAAGAACTGGGCAGAATGGAAGTGAAGGTGTCTGTCAAAGGCATCCCACGTGTCGTGTGCGGAGTTACAGAGGAGACAACGTGTCAAGACGTGGTGCTCGTGTTGGCTCAATCCCTCGGTAAATATCTTTATGAGTCCACACACTGCTGAAACTATGTCAGATGTGTTGGCTAAAGAGCATCAATGTTCTTTTTCAGGGCAGCCAGGACGGTACACCTTGCAAGAGAAGTTCAAAGACTTTGAGCGGTGCATGACTCCCAATGAACGGCTTCTGGAGACATTGAAGAAGTATGGCGAGCAGGCCAAGGAGGTCCAACTCAGTCTCCAACACAGCGGCCTCTCTGCTTGGGATGAAATGGGCAAAGTGAAAGTTGGCAGATACCAGCCTTGTCCGCCACTGAGACGGAAAGATATTGGGCCTAAAACGAGGAGGGGCAGCAGTTCCCTAAGCTTGCACCGCCAAAGCTTGCCTCCATTGAACTGTTTGAGAGAAGAGGTAGAGGAGAAGAACGATGTCCTGAAGACGCCTAGAAGAAAATCTCTAACTCTCATGGAGGAGGCCAGGGAATGGCTGGGAAGTCTTGGCAAAGGAAAGGTCTACAGTACAATGTGTGACAAGTCAAACAAGAAGAGGATTGATAAAAAGGGACGGGCCTCTTTGGATTTGTCCTTTTTTGTCACGAAAGAGCATCAAGATCAAAGCAGCAGAGGTACAGACACAGGTCAGAAAAGTTCAAAATCAGACTTTGACCATCAAACATCCTGCTGCATCAGCAATAAGACCAAGGAGAAAAGCAGGCGCTCAAAGAACACCCAGGAGGTAAAATCTGACCTGAGCACCTCAATCTGCAGAGCAGTAACTGAAGATGAGAAAAATTGCCTCAGAGACTCAATCATATGTCAGCTGCTGTGCTTGCAGGATTTACAAGTCCAAATAACAAACACAGACAAACAGATTTTGTACCTTGAGCAGAAGCAGAAAACCAAAAGAGCTAAAGAAGAAGTCGAGGAGAGGCTTGTGGCTGATGAGATGGAATACATCAAATTTTGGGAGAATGAAATGAAAGCTGAGGAGAGTAATGAAAAATATTTGCAGCGTCAGTTCCTTGAGATGAGAGCCAAGGTTGCAGATTGCAAAGTTAAACTGGAGGAGTACAGGCGCAAAATGCAGGGCTTGGATATTTTTGGCAATCTGAACATTGCTCAAGAAGACCGGAGGGTTTTAAAAACTCCTGAAAAAATCACAACCAAGATATCCGACAGCTCGAAAAAGGAAGAAAATCTGGAAGGATCCGAGTCCAGTGTGGAAAGAAATGTCAACAGGAAGTTCCAGCCCAAAGATGAGCACAGCACTCCTCATGCTCAAGTTCCTCCAAATCAGATAAGAGAGCGGCGGCCCACGGGACCCACCGAGCTGAGGGAGTGGTGGAAGCGCTGGTCAGAAGCTCAGAAGGCTCAACCCCAGGATGAAAGGAAGGTCATCCATCGCTCTGAGCTCACCATTTACCTGAGGAGTACCAAGGTTTAGGACCAGCTCACATTGATCCAACCCCCTGTTTGTGACATCACCATGAGATCTCCATTAGGACATCTTCAATGAACCAGAGCAAGATTATTCTGCTTTCACTGCTGCAATATTATCCTTCGCATGACAACGGGTTCATGTTTACACCCTGAAAGCTTTATTTTTACTGCCATTCTTCAGTCACCTGGAACTTTATGCATCAAACACATAACTGATTCTCTAATTTTACTTGTGTACTTTGTATCCAATACTTTCTGAACGGATTAAAACGAGCAAATTTTAAAAAGAGTGCTTTCTTGATAATATGAGTGTGGTATTAATAAGCCCCAAATGGCCAAAAAATACAGTTGATCACAATTTAAACTATACTCTCATGTTCTCTTTGATATTAAATCCTGTTTTATAAAACCTTTAAAAATAAAAGTCAACTCTAAGATTGCAGGTACTTTTTCACAGCACTGCAGTATCAGTAAGTTTTTGTACTAATTTTACATTTAATTTCAACCATTTCCAAGTCTTAAAATGGTCACATTTTAGTGTGTAGTTTCTCATTTCATTTACAGCTAGTGCTTGCTTGTTATGAAAATATTCTCCTTAAAGCTTTTGGTTGCGTATGTCATTCCGTCACCACAATGTGGGGCTGTAGTGCTTTCCTTATATTACTGCACTTTGATACAAAATACAGGAAATAGCCATGGACTGCATGCAGAGTTCCACCAAAGCTTCAGAATATGCCATGTGACCAGACTTCACAAAAGAAATGTTTTTTCTTTGAATTTCATAAAACTTTATTCAGTTGTTTCATTCAAGACCATTAACAAAAGTACATGAGAACCTCAGTATGGGTTCAACTGAAAACCTGTTGATCGTCAAAAGAAAAAAAAAAAAAAAAAAATCAGATCTGACAGCAACTTTATGTTCAGAGGCACGACAGCTCATCCTTTTGTCTCCAGAGAACAAAAACTGAGATCCTGATTCAGTTTTTTTTTATTAAATCAGAATTTTTCACAGATAACCCTTCTCCTCAGTTAAATTATATGTGAAATTGGGAGCTTACACCCAGAGAGGGGAAAACGGACACAAAAAAAAAAAAAAAAAAAAAAAGAAACACACAGAAGATACAGTATAATTCAACCCACAGGTTTGGGATGCATATTCATATTATTTCTACTAGGGGAAAAAAAGCCACCCTAAGATTGTTTTTAATATTTTGGCGGTTGGCTGGGAAGAAACGCATCTAATTTTTATTTATTCTTTTTTTTTGTTTTGTTTTATTTTGTTTGAAGTTTTAGGCACCTTATATTTATTCAATATTAGCAGATCAAGTTTAAAAAACAAAAAACAAAGCAAAATTATGTGCAAGAAAGGAAATAGTATAAAAGAACTGCAGATATAAGATGCCACAAGGAATTCTGCACCTGGGAAAAACTTGTTAAGTGGAGCATGTGAATACCAAGAAGGCATGTCAAGGCTCTAGACTGGTAAAGGTAACTTCCTTCAGAGAAACTACTTTGACATTCACATACGTCACACTCACGCCATGCTTTTATACTCCAGCCTTTTTCAATAAAGCATTTTAAAAACTGCTCAAAAAAACCGAGCAGAGATGAATTCTCAAAAGTTCGCACATGTATGAAATATGATCCTCCTTATGGAGGGAACCATTGCTTTAAGTGTTTTGTAGGAAAAATGTACACTGGAGAAAACTTGGTGATCAAAAGTTTTCCAGTACGTAAAGGAGCGATGAGGAACAGAAATAAAGCAGAGGGTTAAAGACATGCCAGCAATAAAAAAAAAAAAAAATCATCTGGCCTAGTCAGACCAATTGTCTGGTTGCAGGTGCAGAATTCCAGAGGAAACAGACTTGAAAAGGATCAGGACGCGTACAGCCACGCAGTCAGTCTTAGAGGGACAAGGCCCCTTAGGAACAAATACCTCCAATCTCTTCTAGATTACATCTCACACACACACGCACGCACACACAGGTACTCTGAACCCAGAGACAATCATGGAGGAGGACAGGAGGGGACATCCCCTTACAGGTGAGGGCAAAGGATTACACATGCCTCTTGTTGCATGCGTGCGTTATATTTCATGGATGAGTTGTTTCACAAGCAGTATGTCAAATCGGTTTCCCTTATTGCCCCCTGCTGTTTCCCCCAGGGACTGCATCCCTCCAAGGCCTGATGGGGCTGGCTGCGTATTGCTCAGTCAATGACTCCAGGCTGCCGAGTCTTCCGCTCCACACTGAAGCCCTGCACAGAGAAAATTTAATCAAGTTTGCTTCAACGAGAATATCTTTGATTCAAATCTAACTTTTAAAAATCACAGTCAGAAATTTTCAAATGTTATAACATTTTCACAAACCTCCATTATACAAGATCCTTTCTCACCACAGTTGGAGTTAATATGCAAGCAATAATTTTTTCATCATATTGCACACTTATGCAACTGACCTTTGAAACCATTCCAGTTTTATTATTGTAAAATCATTAGTACGTATTTGAAATCAAAATTCTTCTCCAATATAATCATGATGTCTGTATTATTTTTCAAAGATTAATTTTCATTAATTTGAGAAAATAAAATAAAAATCAGAGCACAAGCCAGAGGAGGCTACAACATACTGAGGTGCAGAACGGTTTAGCCAAAAGGTGGCGTCCCTTACATTCACACATTCATGGAACAAACGACCAGAAACCTTTTAAATGGTGCAATCACTGTTTGAAAGCAAACCAGTGATCCACCCATTCATCACATCTGCCACTGCTTATAGCACAGTTAAATAATCATTTTCTGGCATTTGATGTTTTGTCAGTGTATTGTCCCTCACTTTAGTTTTTAATGTCCTTTTTGTTTACATGTACTTTCTGTAACATCAATTTTCCCATGGGAGTTGAATAAAGCTGAACCTGTTTTTATACTATTTATGTCTATTAGTTAGTTATTTCTTAAGTAAACTTTTTTTTGTTGAGGTTTTTTTTTTCACCTCTTTTAATAGAACTGCATGTGCTGTGTTTTGTGACTTGAGGTCGGTTGTTTGTTCTGCTTACTTCGGATGAAATCTTTTGCATATTTTCTCTGCCATGCACTGTAAATATGAATATTAATTTACATGTAATGTAGATTTATATGCACCGTCCCCAACAGATTGAAATTAAGAAAACTCCAACAAGCGTTGTTTCAAAGTGAAAAGGCGAACCTTTGAATTGTCAGGACCCCGAGGCTGCCGTACGATGACCAGACGAGGAGCGCTGGCGTCATCCAGAGTGATGCTCTTCAATCGGTTCACCAGGCGGTCAGGACGCGGCGTGGCCACCGGTTTGGGTCCCTCACTGTGATATCACACACACGTTAGTCAGAGCCATTTGTTTCTGCTGAAGTTCAGCTTCAACATGCCCTGCGTTTCAGGAAGGCTCTGTGTCAAGCGGCGGGTTCTCACCAAACTCTGCGTACGTTGCAGGCGCTACATTTTGCGGTGCGTTGATTGAAGACGACAGAAAACTCCACCTCGTCTCCGATCTGGAGCTCCACACCGTCCTGCACTTCTTTCACGTGGAAGAACAGCTTCTTGCTCTCTCCGACCTCGTATGTAATGAAGCCAAACTGAGGGGAGTCAGGTAAACAGGGATTCATTTTCAATCCGTTTCTCTGCATCATCACAAGGACCAAATCACAACTGGTGTGACTTCTGTTTAAAAACCTGCCACTAAATGCATGATCTGCTCAGAACAAGATTCTTTGATTTATACTGAAAGCTGAAGACAGAGCAGACGTGCTCTTAAGACTAGTTGTGGGTTTAAATACCTTTTCCCTGGAGATGTTTTCCCATAACATTTAATTAAATGTTATGTATATTACTGGGTAATTACCCAGTAATATTTTAACTTTTCCTGTCTATTTTGTATCTTTAATACATGGGCCACAGGTGGACCGCCTCAGTGCCCTGACCACTGGGCTTAGCAAGTTTTCTGGGGGAAACCCTGAATCAGCTCAAATTTGAACTGAATATCAAAAAGCCGTTCAAATATCAAAAAGATGCAAACCAAAAATGCAGCTTTGTGATATTTTTAATACTTTTTACAGGTAGAATGCTCTACTCATATGCAGAAAAATACAAGTTAAAGTAAAAGCTGTCAAAACAGTATGACTGCAATTAACTAGGCCTGTCATAACAATCAATGAATTAATCACATGATCAATTATTTTCCATTTGGAGCATAATAGTCAAAGAGAGGTCCCCTTCAGTACAGTTGAAAAATGAGCTTTTTGAGAGAACGCCTAGTACAAAGTAGCTGGTTTGGACTACCTGCCACTTTTACCCGTTTTCCCTGTTTGAGTAAGATATTTTTGAAATGTAACTTTGGTTGCACAGACATCGCAGTCCATTTTAGTTTTTGTTGTTTTGGTTACTTTATTTCAAATGTGCTCCAGCGATAAGAAAATTTAAGTTTACTGGTCTTTGAAAGAACAAAATTATGATTATACTTGAAAATAGTGTCAAAGCTTAAATATTATGGTTTATTGCAATAATTTACAAAGCAGTATAAGATCCAGTAAGTTTTACACTGTAACAGGCCTGAAGCTCAGTTTTCCTGCAGCCCTACATCCTAAGTAGCACTGTAAAATCCAGCATGTAAGGTCACTCCCGTCAGGTGAACTCTACCTGGTCCTTGACGCACTCCACTGGAGCTCTGCGCTGAGGAACAACGTTGCACGCCATCTTCTGGCCAGTTTGGGTGACTGTGCAAACTTGGAACTTAACATGTTCCCCCTTCTGTAGGCAGTCGGCCTTGTTTGTCATCCCCATGATTCCAAAGGGATAGTTCTGCCCCTTGTCTTCACCTGGGAACAAACCAAACGTACTCAGGTTAAGCTGACTGGATGTGTTTGTAGGTTGTAGCTGTGCTGCTGCTGCTGCTGCTGCTGATGTAACACAGACCTTCCTCAGTCACTTCAATGAGTCCTTGGTATTCAGTCTGGGAGGGATCCACGCTGCGGATGGGACGGATGATTTTTCCCGCCAACACGGACGCACCAACATCGTCACCAGTACCGTTCACTGAACAAAGAAAAATGTATCATATAAAAGACATAACCAATATTAAAAAGAATAAAATCAACTCATCCTCCCTTACCTGCAGCCACCTTGGTAACCTTTTCAGCACTAACTTTATTTCCTTTCCCTTTAGAGAGAGTATATTCCACCGTGTCACCCAGCTCCAAATTATCCACATCCCCAC